CCCAAATTGGCCTGTCCCTGCGCTAGATGAGCGCAGAGTTCAATTAGGTTTCCTAAGCTGGATGATCCTGGCCACTGGGTGGTTTAAGTTTGCTTAGCGCTGACTCAGCCGTTGTGGCCCGTAAACCATGGCTTCGCATCGCAGGTAGACCAATAGTGATGGGTGGCTCAAAGCATGGTTAAAACGAATCACGGCTTATCAGCAGCCTGCTGGAACCAACTTCTCAGTCCATCGCCAAGAGGAAACATCATAAAACCACAGACAAGAGTGCCAGGCCAGCGCAGAGACATCCCAGCCTAGACTCCAAGCGCCAGCAGGCCTCCCACATGTGCTTCACAACCCCCCAGGCCTAAGGGTTGTTGCCCAGCACAGCGCCCCCCACCCTCAACCACCTCCCCCTGCCCGCTCCCAATGTTGTGGGCATTGGTTGACGGTACACGGACTGCGCATTGCTCGTGGGGGGTGCCCGTCCACTGTAATACTTTTATTCCCGTCTCTAATCCTTTTCCTGCGGCTCAGTCCTCAATAATATCGTACACAGCCAAATTAAAGGCCTTGTTGTTTTCTCCAACTCGCTGGCAGTCGGAGGCTTTGCAGCCCCGGTGGTGGGTGACGAGGCTGGCCTTGCGATTCCGGATAAGGGTCATGAGTTTGACCAGCTCCTGTTCCATGTGCGAGAAGGTCCGCAGGAGGCGTCTCTTCATCTCTTCTGGATCTCCCGGGGCCTCTTCCTGCTGCGGGAGGAACATAAACGTATCAGAGGTTGGGCGGTGCGGCGGACGCCAGGAGCCTCCGAGAAAGGGTCCGAAATGGCAATTGTTCTCCTCTACCGCTTCGGCCCCAGCGTCCTCATTCAAGGTGACGGAAAAAAGGTGGCTCTGAAACTTGGTTCCAAGGAAATAAGGATATTGGTGAAACTTTCAAGGATGCAATGGTCTAGAACAGTGTTTTTCAAACTTGGCCACTTTAAGCTGTGTGGACTTCAACTCCCAGAGTTCCCCAGCCCCCCACTCCGGGTGGGGGAACCTGGGAGTTGAAGATCACACAGCTTTTAAGGGGGAAGATTTGTAAACAAAGCTT